CTGCGCTCGTGCCCATAAATAATTCTGCTCTCCTTTATTACATTTTATTCATTAGGAGCACATACAGTCAACTGCAACCCATCTCGCAAGGTAAAACGCGTAAAAATCACGAGTGATGCAATTTTTTTGGTGCAAAAGCTCGACGCACTAAAAGATGCACGCTACCGTAACCCTGAATTCGTACGCCGAGTTTTCGAAAGTTTCTGTTAGCCGGAAGTTTTCCGTCTGGTGTTTTTGTTGTTTTTCGTATTCTTTTCTTTGCATTGGATGATATCTACTACTGGGAGATGCGAAAAAGCGATTTGTGAGCCAGGGGTTGCACAGAGACCGCAGGGCGGTGTGACTGTCAGGGAGCGATCTTTACTTTTTTCTTCTTCGGGGATTACTTATCAGCTACTGTTTCATAATTGAACAGCAACTATTCGTGACACTCTACCGCGGGAAGTGTGTTCAAGGGTTCGGATAGTAGACTCATTGATAGGGATCTCACCCCTCATGACGCTATAATCTAAAGCTGTCTAGAGAAGCCGCTGATTGCATGATCCCTCCCATCAGGCCATCTTTTTGCTTATAGCGTCGTCAACTTCCTCTGAGTGGCTCAGCAGGGGGTGCGAACTCGAGGACCGGTTTCTTGTTATCAGCAGTGATAACGGTTTGATAAGCCAACGATGTGTAATGTCGCGATAGCACAGAAGGAAAGAATTTAACGCTCAAAACTCACAATGTACACGCCAAAGGGGCGGAAATTCGTTCGGACGTGCGCCTCCGATAAAAATCAATGGTCAAAGTGTTACAAAGAGAATTCCTGGTAATTTCTGTCACTAGTGCTAGCCTTCCATTCCGAAACGACTGATCATCATTGACTGCAGAGAAATTAACACCCTCTCATCGCATTGTGGTATTCAAGGTCGTTACAACGGAAAAGTGCACATTTGTGATGGTTGGAAGAAGTTCCGCCAAGGTATTCAACGGAAAGCCGTAGTAAATAATTAGGCATTTTGTCGAGCCATGCACTCGTCATTCTTCCAAAAGCTATAAGTTCAGGCTTGAACACGGATAAGCAATCATATAGAATTCATTGTACCAGCCCAACGGAAAAAATTGGTTCACATTATAGATAGTGTGGGGACTAAGTTCAACGAAGCGGTTGAAATGGAGAGGTGGGGGCGCTTTACAGACACATCACTACTTTTCTCTTGTACCACACCTGAAGACTAGCGGAGAAGTACAGTGACCTTCGTAAATAGACCTAGATATTTGAATATTTGTCTTCCTTATGGTTACAAAGGGCCCAGGAAAAAAATTTGCAAGTTTCTCATTTGGGCCATGAAACCAATGACGGCCACATCTGCCCGCGTCCATATACTTTGTAATTCCAATTCTTCTCGCCGCTTTGTCTTCTGTTCTCTCGCGTGCACGCAAATCAGGGTTGACGGTATCGTTGTGTGAAACACATAGGCAGGGGTCCGTAACTTTTCCGCTGGGAGGGGTCGTTATTGGGTAAGACAATTTATTTTGATATTTGATTTTTTTCTTGTGACTAGGGGGGGGGTCGTGGCGCGGACCCCATCTTCGGTGGTCGTACTAACAAGCCGACATTTCGCCTATCCCTATGCTGTACCCTCGCACAAATCCCTCTTCTTAGGCTACTCGTCACAATTTTTCCGAATCGGCAATAAAAAAATTCGACTGAGCCAGTTTTTCCTACTTTTCTTTCATTTTTCAGTTTCTTTTCGCCTTCACAACGTTGTATGTATCAAACTGCCCACAATATGTAATAGCCTAAAGTTCTTTCCAGCAAAAAATCAGCGATGGCAACCCAAAATATCAACGAAATGCTCTCACCTTCTAACTAGGTGGCTTGTACTGCTACTGCTATGCGTAATTGCTAGTTAACTCGTTATGTGAACGAGATGCGCTCATTTCAAGCGCAGTGGGATATGTTGCTATGAGCAGGAAACGGCAAGTATTGAAGGCATGAGGCAAGCTGATCTGGTATGTGGTCCCGTATAGTAGCAGGGGTACTATAGATGGGGAAATTGACGAAAAAGCCAAGTTAAACGACAAAAACGTGGGAAAAGTGTTTGTTCTGCACAGCATTAGACGAGCGTTTTTGGACGAGTTTCACCTTGGCATTGGCCAACAACCGCCTTGATAGATACGGCTGCACGTTTGTACTCATTTATCCATGTAGCAACGCTGCATACCAATCGTCGTTCATAAATGAAGCGATAGGAGTACCAGCGTCCGTGTGAATGTCCGCCACTATGGCCGGGCGGTGCCAGTGGCGTTACTGAATCCGGCATGTTGCACCTTGCTTGAGGCGCTATACATATGTTTCCTTTTTGTTGTTGATAATAGGGTCACTCTCTGCTCGTATTCTCATTCCTCTTCTTTCTTTTTTCTTTATTCTTTTTTTTTTTTTTTTTTTTTTTTTTTTTTCAATATGCCTCCGTGCTGGTTATTTACCTTACACGTTTTTTTTTTTTTTCTCTCTTTATTTTATTCTTCTTTATCTTTTTTTTATTCTTCTTCTGATTTAGTATTTGTTAATTTATTAGCCAATCTTTTATCCTTGTTTTTTAATTGTTGCTTAATCTTTTTTTTTCTAAATTCTTTATATATCTTATCTTTTATATTTCTTATAATATTTATTGAATGTCTTTTGTTTTTTGTACTATTTATTTTACTTCTATTTTACTCTTTGGATTTTTTTTATATTAATTTCATTTTTTTTTTGTTTTTTTTTTTTTTTTTTTTTTTTTTTTTTTTCTTCATAATTTTCTTTTTTATTTTAATTTATTTATTCTTATGAGAATTTATCTGTCTAAGTCAATACTTTTTCTAGCGTTACTTATTCTTTTCTTTTTTGGTTAGAATCTGCTTTTGTATCTTTTTTCTCTTATTTTTTTTTTATTATATATAGTTTCTTGATATTTTCTTACTTTTGTTTCTATTATAGAGATTGTTATAATTTAATTGAATATTTAGGTCTTTAGTGTATTATTTAATGTTATCTTTTTTTTTTTTTTTCTTTAATATCATTTTTCTTTGGTATTTTCTTTTTTGTATGTCTTTATATTATCTTTTTATTTCTGTTCATTTAAATTATTCTTTTTTTAATTTAATTATAATTAATTATAAATTCTCTTTTAAATTCTAGACTTTAATCACTATCCTAGTGATTCAATTATAATTCTAATTAATTATGTATTATTTTCTCTGTTATTCATTATATGATAGATGTCGTAATTTTATATCATTTTTTTGACATATAAGAATTATTTGTGACTTAGCTTTAAATGGTTTTTTCTTGCTGATCTGTTGTTTTTGGTCTTTTGCGTTCATCATTCAATTTACACTTCCTACTTTTTATTTGTATCATTCTGTTCTTTATGTCTTGTTAATACTCTTATTACATTATGTTATATTTCTTAATATTTTATTCTTTTTTTTTGGTCTTTTATGTGGATATCTAGTATTTTTTAATTATATAATTTAAGGTTTACTTGAATCTAATATCATTTCTTTTTTTTATTCTTTTTTTTTTTCTATTCAATTATTCTGAATCTTCTGACTTGCTATTCTTTCTATTCTTTATTATATCGTTCCTTCTTTTCTTCTTATATATCTCTCTCTCTTCTTTCTCTTATTCTTCTGTAATATATATATCTCTAACTTTTTTTTTCTTTTGTATCTTGCTTGTCTTTTTTTTTTATTTTTAATTTATGTTCGAGTGTTTCTTATATTTTTTTTTCATCTCTTTTATTTATCTTATTAATCTTTTTTCGGTCTTTCTTCTATATTTTTTTTTTTCTTCTCCTCTTAGAATGCGGAACAGGCCATCTTCACCCCATTGCCGTCCCCACGAATTGGCTGCCAGCCAATAAGGGATTTCACGTCCAGTAGAGTGATCCACTCCCCATCTGAATTAGATGTGTCAGATTCTTCGAAGTGAAAGGTCCCTACAAACTAGTAAAGAGTCGATGGATCAAAACAGAATGAGACTTAAAGACAGCGCCCACGATCGCCGTTGCATGTTACGGGGATAATAATCATTAAATCACGTGGTAAATGGGTCACAAGTGGAGAAAAGGCTAATAAAACCGTCGAAGGGGCCCTAAATAAGATCCCTATTGGCTCTGAGCATTATGTGAGCATACGGCACAGAAAGGCTGAGTGTAAAGGTAGTGAGTCAGACCATGAATATAGTACGCCTAGAGAATACAAAGAAGAGAGACCCTTATGTAGTGATGGTAAATGATAAGCAGATCCATCTCGGGGAGGGACGCGGAGCACTGGTTCCACCTCACCGTTTAAGCCAGTGCGAACTTCTTATCGGATATGCGGACCCAGTGGACATCCTCTGCATTTCTAGTGGGGCAGCGTAATCCGCGGACCAATCGCGAAACTCCAAAGAACTTATCTAGACTGCTCATAAAACCCATGTGCAGGAACAGTGTCAGCGTATCGAAGTGCTCCGATCAACGTGCTCGACTTTTACGGCGGTTATGTAAATGAGCCAGATTTTATGACAAGTTCTACCTCAAATTGTATTGGTAAGTAGTGCAGCCTGCCGGCGGTGTGACCCTATTAACTGCGAATTACTCGATTAAAGTCAATAAGGATCTCGCCCGCTACGAAGACATATCTGATTCGCGGGGTGACGCGCAAGCGGCTTGCGGCTTTGCAAATATCGTCACCACGCAGTCATTCGCACCAAACAGCACTAACCGATTTCTCAGCTGTAGATAGTGTAATGCTATGTTCAGGTCTAAAACTATATTAACTTTCGCGCAAGGTGGAACTTCCAACTTTACTCCGGTATATGATGAAGACAATTACCCATCACATAACATCCCACTATTTTAATTATGGTGCTGTTCCCGCGGGAGCCCTCATTCGAAATCTTGAACATGAAACACGTGAAAGAGGCGCGCCAAAAAATTTATTGCAAAAAACTCAAAAGACTCAAAAGAATCCAAAAGTTCTTGCAAAAAAATTTTTGTTTCTAATTACTTCCTTCGAATATTTCGGTGCCTAGCACCTTCCTCAGGGTGTTCATCGCTGAGGAAGGTGCTAGGCACCGAAATATTCGAAGGAAGTATTAGAAACAAAAATTTTTTGCAAGAACTTTTGGATTCTTTTGAGTCTTTTGACGGCTGCCAGTTTTTTGCAATAATATTTTTTTGCGCCCCTCCATCTATTTTTTGTTGTATCAGGCAGTCAGCTGCGGCACTGGTGTGAGACTTCTGTGATTCACGTTTCTTTAGGAAGGTCATTTTAGGCAGCGTTCAGACTTCGCGACAACAGCGCTTCTTCGCGCGTTCGACGCGATCGATGCGCATGCTTTCAACTGCATCGATCGCTTCGAGTACGTGACCGAAAGCTGCCGTCGCGACTTGGGAAGTCTGAATGCTGCCTTGAAGACAGGACCCGCAAATTACTGCATGTGTAGGTCAAGTGCAGATCAGCCACTGAGTGGATTGTCTACGACGTCTCCAACGTTTATAGTGACTGGTGGAACCAATGAGATCGTGTGCATCTTATGAGGAGTAATAGGAATCAATGACTCGAGATATTTAACAAATGTTGCCGCGAGTACACATGAAAATTTACAAATCTTCCAAAATGTAACCCCTTCTTACCCGAGAATACGAACGGAGTGATATCCTTGTCCAGTGAAGCCGGCTCCTTTCTGAGCCGCGAGATCCGTGTGCTGATAGACTCCACCAGAATACATGAAAAAGTCTTCGTGCACCAGGAAAGTCGCCTGGACAGGACCATTGGTGATGATCTCTGCCATGATGTCTTCTTCCCTGAAACGTAAGGTGTGAAGGGAACAGTGTCTTGAGTATCCTATTACCTTGGGAATCAGAAAGAGGGCAACGGGGAATCACCGCGTCCCATTGCCTTGTGGAGCAGGGAACAACCTGGATCACTTTCTTTCTACTCAAGCAAACCAGACCAAGAACCCCTCTGAGGTCATATGATTGGTACCATTGGCTTACATTATAAACAGGAAGAAAGTTCTGCATCGTGTGGCGCTACGACCAAATCTTTGAGCAGCACGTATCCAAATGTGCTACGGCTCTACACGAAACAAAGTGTTGACTTTTTTCAGAGGAAGCAGTCATTGTAAGGTGCGTTGGCTCATCGCCAAGGGATTATTGCTCTTGGAATCACAACTTTATCCCATTGAACCACCTACAAACGCTACAAAGTATCTCTTCCAGACCTTAAAAGCCGCTGGTGAGAAATCAAAAAAAACTAGGTGCCCTCGCGAGAAGCGGGGAATTTTCCGAGAGCTAAGGGGTGGTAGACGGAACGGCCGCGCCTAAGATGCCTTGATCGACCTTTTTTTTACAATGCATTCCACTTCCACGCGAAACCGTAGTGGCACGGTAAAAGGTCCTGCCTCAAACAATCGAAGGCGAGACAGAAAAAAAAACAAAAAAAACCGAAAAAAAAATAAAAAAAAAACACCACCGACAGTTGCCTAAGGCAAATGTTTTTATTCTCTTCACCGCAAATCAAATCTAGTAGCTTATTGAGCGAACTTGGAGGAAAGCCAAGCTTGATAGGCTTAATAGGAGTCCGCCAGAGGCTCAACCGCAGCCCATACGCGCAGTAAGTGAAGCCATTAGCCCTTCACTACCTCCAAACTAGGGTACCAGTTCCGAAAAATGGGCTTGCTGCCATAATGTCAGTATCGCGGCTAGCCATTGAGCCAAATGAATGTCACTCCAAGAATGAATGGATCTTAAGATTTATTTGGATAAGTAATCAATCTCGGTTTCATTTGGAAAGAAGCACTGGTTTTTTGCCAACCGTGACCATCATGTCAGTTAGTCAAACTGTCTTTGTCCTCTCTAAATCATCAATCAAAGATAGCCTGAGAGATTGCTGAAAAAAGATCGGGTCTGATATTGTGTCACATTTGCTTTGGGAAGGTGAAACAATGAGTTCCCATCCTACACTTAAATTTTAAAAGTCTCTAAACTCTCTAAAGTAAAAATGAAAGTGAAGTGTAAAATCGACTGAGAAAAACACCAGTTTTCTTTGGAGCTGTTCGTTGGGATGAACTGAACACTTGAATGGTAGTTAATGTTCATCGCGCTGAGCGCTCGTTCGGAAATCCTGATCTTTTCCATGTGCAAGATGAACGGGTCCGCAGTTGAGAAATGTGCCTTTTTCGCTCCTCAAAAGTGCGCCGTAATGAGGCTGAAAGGTATCTCAGTAGCTGAATGAAATTGGAGCCCCACCCGCGCGAGGCATTCAGCACTGAACACGCCCCCACCACAGCTGATACACGGCTTGTCATCAGGGCAGTTGCTTATGCGTCAAAAAGGTCGCAGACGGCGCTGGGCGGCCCGTCACGACGCGGCGTCAGCCTTTTTCAGGCCTATTTAGCCATTTTCTCCCTAATCTTCACTGTATTACTTACCTTGTTTTCAAAGGTAAGTTATTTTTGTGTTCATAAGGTATGGGACGTGGAGTCTTTTTTGTTTCTGTAATGAAGTGTTTTTTCGATTTTTTTAGGTATTTGTTTAATTATTCAATTGTTCGCCAAAATTACTGAAATCTCAATCCAAAAAATAAAATCGCTCCTTGTGAGATTTAAGGCACAAAACCAGCCTCCAAGGAAAACAGCCAAAAACGGTGAACTTAGAGGAAAAAGCTAAATAGGCTACAGACCCTGATCGCCGTCGCGGTCGCGAACGCGCCGCAGCAGCGTTCGCCGACTTTTATCGCCAGTGCAACTGCCATTACTGGACAAACGTAAATGGCGGCTTCTTGTGCATCTCTCTCGTTTGATAACCTAGCTGTTGTTATCTGTGCTTGGCCCCGGTGAACCATTTGCGTTCATGTTGGACTACACTACTACAGGACCTCGACATCGACTATACACGACAAGCATATGCTTGTCCATGTTGTGTATAGTCTAGTTCGCTGCGGGTGAAGGGGCGTGTCAGGCGAGATGAGTTTGGATCATTGCCAAACCAGTTCTCCACAAGATGTTGAAGCGAATAAGTGCAAGACCCGTTCGTGTCACTCATTTCCTACCGTTTCCGTCGTAGCCGCATTCCCGCTTCAACAACTGAGAGGATAGTTTTTGCGCGGCGGCATGAAGCACTCATAATGCCTGGCACGCCCCTTCATCCGCAGCGAATTAGAGTGTAGAATAGCTGGAAGCTCGAACAACATACACCTCTCACTAAGCTCTAGCTTCATTTTCGCTCCCCTCGGGGTTCTGAATGGCGAAAGTTGTGGAACTCCCACAGCTGCAAGCCCGCTGACCTCCCTTACCGCACGGTTCCATCTTGCGAGTAAAGCTTGTCGTTAAGGTTTTGATTTTTTTCGTTCTTATATAAGACACTCCAAAAGTATGTGCTCAAAAAATGGAAAATGAAAGACAATAAGAAGGATGAAGGAATTTCTTTTCGATTGCAGTTGTCTCAGGTACTAAAGCTTGGTTTGGACACAAGGAAAGGTGGACCCAACTTAATGGCTTTGTTTTCTATTTTCTTTTTTGATTCAGGATAGAAATGAGCAAAAAGCGTGAGGTTTCATTCAGGGTAAGTTTCCTTCTTAATGTTGCATAAGAGAATTGATGTTTCGGTTCCTAGGTGGAAGTCTTTCTGTTCCTTTTTTTCTGGTTGTTTGAACTCGACTTGTAAACTATAAAATACTTGGGCAGTTGGGACAGCTGAGCCAAGAGGAATTTTTCAAAACACTTATATAAAGTGAAACAATGGAAACAAAAGAAAGATAAAGAAGCCCATCAAGGAATTGAAGTTGCCCTTATCCCGACCTGAAAAAAAGGTGGAAACCACCTTGCTCATATTCCAGATCCTCTCAAGTACAGAAAGTCGTAAGTTTTCAGTTAGTGTTCAGTTACATATATTCATTATTAAGAGGAGAAAGGTCTCACAATGTTGTGTTCCTATTTATCAAAGCGAGCGGTCCAAGTAATAGCGTTGGGGCGCGCTCTGTCACGTACCGTCGCGATCGTCGCTGCTGTCGCGAAGTATGAACGCTGCCTTACGAATTCTCCACCTCTGTTAACGTTTTCTGGTGTTAGAAAGAAGCGTTCCATCTTTTCGGCGATAGAAAGTTGACTCCACAGCGGATAGCTCTTAGGATAATGCAGTGTTTAGATGGCGTGCTGACGTGAACCGCTGGGGGTGGATTTTGCGTCTTATTGTTAGGACCTTTGTTTTTTTTCTTTATGAATGGAGGAAGGACGTGGACGTTTTGGGAAACGTGAAGCTTGTATGCTTTCCCTAGACGGTAAAAGCCCTGATAGTCGTTCCCCAGGCAACCTTCATCCGTCTGCACCCTTGTTTTTTGTATGATTTCACCCATCCAGGTGGTCTCTCGATGAAGCGTGATCCACGAATTACTTGATCGTGGCTTTCACACCTTCTTGTAGTGTTTTAGCAAACGCTTTTGCATGGCGACCGAGCTTCCACAACTGGAAGATCAGCAAAAGGTGAGGATAAGAGCCCGCCATTTCTGAAGACGAAGACGCAGAGAGTGCAACATAGATACAGTTAGAATAGAGCAAACTAGTCATCAGAGGCCTGGTCACGCAGTTTGAGCAAACCTTGCGAAAAACCAGTACATCAAACTCTTCAATTTAACCTTATCGTTTTAGAGAACAGTGCACAGCCAAAACACCTCTGGGCTTCTGCTATTCTCCCACAGTAAATTGATGCATGCCGCTTCGTCATCCGGGCCAGTTGATTGGAGGTCCGTCGAACGGTAGCGTGAAAAAGAGTCGGCGCTTCGCCGCGTCAACTGTACGTCGCGCTGCGACGTCGCGCCCGCGAATGACGATGGTTCCAGGTAAGTATGGCGACAACAACAATTCAGAACCGAAAATACTTATGAAGTCTACGATGACAGGGTCTACATAAAGCCCGGCGCTCCAGTTGACAGTTAACAGACTAAGTTGCGAAACTGTCGCGTCCACGGGCGGCGCAGCGGCAAATTACGATTCTCTTGCCCGTCTCCCGTCGTCGAAGGGTTGCAGGTGCGGCTGCAGCAGCACAGCGTACATAGGAACTGGCAGCGATCAGCTAGTTCCGGCCTGGTTTCAGTCATTTTCTCCCTACTTTTCACTGTTTTTGGCTGCTTTTCTCAAGGTTAGTTGTTCCTTGTCTTCACAAGGTAAATTATGATTGAGATTTCTCTAATTTTTGCGAACAATTAAACAATTAAACAAACAATTCAAACAAATACCTGAAAAAAATCGCAAAAACACTTCATTACAAAAACAAGAAAAGAATCCACGTCCTAATATACTTCATAAAGACAATAACACAACTTACCTTGAAAAAATAGAAAATACAGTGAAAATTAGGGAGAAAATGGCTAAACCAGGCTGGAAACAGCTGATCGCCGCGGTCGTGACGCGCCGCAGCCGCGTCTGCGACCCTTTGACCGCCTAATCAACTGCCGGATGACGACTGTACGTATACTCCTCATCCCTGAGACGAGGTCCAACCAACCAGAACTGGTTACTTGTAGGATATTTCAATTTGAGACAACCGCCATCTTGTTCTTTGTTGGACAAAGACGTGACCACATTTGGGTCAAAATGAAAATATCTCTCCAAAAGCATAGCCACCACGACGTTTAGTTGAAGTACGCAGCCACGCCTACCTCATCTCAGGGATTTCGAGTGTACCAAGGCCAATATCTAGTCGTGAAATGCACAAGTAAGACACATGGTAAAAGATAAAGTCGTCGGCGTCGATCACTAGTTTTTTGCTATGTGGCATGCATTCTAACATTCTATTCAGAGTTGTAGCTATCTGAATGAGATGTGGGCCATACCATGACTTGCGAGGGCCAACTAATGTACAAGTCGGTATTCTTATCCTCTTAGACGAATCTAGCACCAATAGACGGTATCCGCAAGGTACAAGGCTTGGTTGGCCTGGGCAAGAGCCAATCCAGGACCTGGGCCCGGACCCACGCTTGATAACACTTCCCACAATGCCACCTCGGCTTCCAACACCCATAGTATTTTCTATTCTCAAAATTCTTACACCTTTAGAAGCTATCGCAGTTCAGGAGACTCTCAGAAGGAAGGCTTCGTTCAACTCACCTGCTAGAAACCCGGTAGGGTGGCGTCATTTTATAGGCTGTACTGTCAAGTGAAGGATGAGCCGGACACGTCAAACCGTTGCCTTCCTAAAAAACTGTAGGATGAGAAATACGAGAATCGGAACTCCTCAAAATAAATCAGCCCCGAATTATTGTTCTCTGATGAAACTTCCATTACAGTAGTAACCTACTGATTATTTCGTTGTATTTATTTATTCAGTCCCTTTAATGAGGCCCTTATTGTCATGTGTTCCCAGCGCACCCATTCCTTAGCCATCGAAATGCTACACGCGTACTATGAGCATTTATGGCCGAGTAATGAACTGCTCGTCGACGATTCGATTTGAAAACTTGTGGCGTGGGCTAATTTTCGGCTGGAATCCGCTTAGTGATCATCAGATGGCGAGCGAGCGGGTATACCACACCAAAGCATTCATTGATGCTTTTCTCGGCGCCGAAGGAATGTGTCACTAACCTTATAACTTCGTTTCGGGATACGGCAATCGCCTGGTTCACGCGTATGGCCCGACTCGTATGGATAACACGTCTCGTCGACTACACTGAAAAAGGCTGGTAAAAAAAGTCTTAGATATGTGTCGCAAGCAGACCTCTTCGTACGTTGGGGAATCTCCAGCGGGGAGGATCGAGGGAATAAGGGTGAGTCGCTGGGAGGGAGGAGGACGGTGGTGGGGTTCATATTTGTCTCTGAGAGAAATCTGTAGCGTGGCGTTAGGAAATAATTTTCTCCGGATGCTGACTTTGTAGGAAGTTGGAAAATCCGAGAAAGTTGTGGGTAGGTTGGAGAAAGCGGGGGAGGGTCGAGGGAATGAGAGGGTCGCACTTTCAGGGAATTTCCTCCAGCGGCAGGACATACTCTGGTCGTAAGGTATAAGAGAGCGGGGTTTTTCACACATAGAAGTAGCTTTCAGATCAGACAAGATTTTGGTAATGGATTTCAGAAGAGCAAAGAAAGTGATGCTCGATTTTGTTCTAACCTCCGATTTCGCCTCAAATAGAATCGTGTAAAGACTGAGAACCGTCCCGATCGGGTCTATCCTAGCCAGTGGGTTTCCAACGTCAGTAATGATAGAAGAAACTGACCCTAGTTTGCGGATGTACCACCAGGCCCTATCCAGATAGCCGCCTTCACAACCTCGTTGGCGATGTTGATTGCATGATAGAAGCTGCTGCGGAGAAACCGTGACATTGATTCGTCCATCAGAAATGATAGCTAGCCTAAATCGTGAGCTTGAGAGACACAGTTCGCACGATTAATAAAATAGGGTGGGAGACTCATAAACACTATGGCCTTCCTTTGTAGGGTGCCGAAGTGCAGAGCGGTTGGCGAAGTCCCCGCGAATTTATCGCTCATTTGCGAATTCCGTCTGGGAGCCAAGTACCAATGGACCTATCGGAAGAGATTGTGGTCGTTGAAACAGCCCAACTGCTTCCGCAATCTCCCTGATCCCTCACCTCATGGATTAGTCCAGGCCACCTGAAACAAAATTTTTAGTGAGCAAGTTTAGTACGTTAACAGCTCAAACTCTGAGTTGATACTGCTGACTTTCATCGTAGGGCGTCAAAATGTGCGGGCGGCAATTTTCCCGTGGTTTACATCGACGATCGTCGTTCATGTTCTGCAGCGGATTGCCGGAAACAAGTGCCGGTGGAGGCGGTATTTGATACCCTCATCGAGACTGCGTCCCCAGAAGAATGAGTAATTCCTCGCGGACCATCTGAATAACAAATAATTTATCTATCATTCATCGATCGCCTCATCGATTCATCTGAATTGCTCATTGATTTCCGGGGCGCAAATTGTGTCAAGTTTCACGCTCCCCACAATGTTGATGCCAGTTGTGACCCCCTTGACGCCTCGTATGATCGTCAAAATACGTTCTAAGAAAGGGTCGAAGAACAATAGCAGAGGTTCCGTTCTATTCGATAAGAATCGAGCCTACAAAGACCTGCTACCTAATTAGAATAATGCCAAGTCAGAATGAAAAAGGCGAATAGGATTAACTTAAGAAATACAAATGGAATGTCCGTGGTTGAGAAGTTCATTCGGGTAATTCTGATTCAATTCTGTCCAATTTAACACTAAATTGATGGAATCCAAAACACGTAGCCAAGAGCACTACAGGGGCTTTTTTGTTTTCCATGATAAGAGAATCTGGGTAATGGGATTTGAAAAGAAACGGTTGGTGATAGGTTCAGATAGCCCATCATTCAAAGGAAAAAAACTGCCGAGAATGCCCTCAATAAAACCTCGTCCATGATGTAGATTATGAGCACAGTATGGACTTTCAATAGTGATTGAGTGCATGGGGAGCAAGGGACCCGGATACGGGGGATGAGAAAAAGGTCCCGGGATGGTAAGTTCGATAATAAGCGGAAGCTGCAGACTACAAAAAGCCATAGCATGATTTTCAAAAATAATAGGGCTGCCGCATGAGCGGTGGCCTCTACGGGTCAATGTATTGGGTTGGCCCATAAGTAATGGCGTTTTTTTAATTGGAAATTTTGTTCAAAAAGTGAAACGTTTTGCGAGCAAGTTGATATCATCTGATAGGAAA